GGAAAAGCGGAAAATACTCGTGGAAAAGACTCGAGATAATGGTTCAGATCTCTACTCATCACTACTCGACTGTCGAAATACATCAAATACGCCATGTGAATTACTGGCAACTTCACCAACCCTAAGATTATTCAATCGCCGAACTAGAAACACCATACCAACGGCCAGAAAATTGCCAGACGAAATCTCGGTAAAATAGCATGATTGGCCAATGGTCTATCGGTATGCAAAATGCCCGTGACATAATCAGGGAGATAGTATACGCGTCAATTAAATATATCTAGAATAATAGCCGAGAGAGACATGTTATATTTACCAATCAAGTCAATATGACGGCCATAAAACTTTTTAAAGGTTTTTATAAATTTAGTGCGCAACCACTGCAATAATCGCGTTGCTGTGTGTAGAAAGGCCTGCGAAGAAATAGTCCATGGTGTTTTGTGTAGACAGTTCCGTTAAGTGATATATTCAACGTTTAGAGACTTCCATGTACAGATATTCAATGCTTCTTCAGATCTAACGTGGACCCCCCCCCCCCCAATGTAAAAGACCCAGGCATAATGTTATATTAATTTGAGTAATATTAACAACCTGTACAAATGTTGCTGTTGGATCCATTTTTAAAAAGGATACATGTGGAAAAACTGATAAAGGCACCCACACCACCGTCCCATTTATCGTCTTGACAAGTTGTGAGTCGGCTTGAATTTCCCGATGTTCTTCTAGAAAAACAGGATTAAAGTCGGAACCTACTAGTGGTGAGACCACATTTAAGTGTCGACGTATTGTGTCGCTACCTGTTTGTCCATCGACCCGTCCGTCCATCCGTCAACAATTGGGCGTGTACAAATTGCCAATAGAAAGTGGGGAGGGCTGCAAGTGCAAGGAATTCCTTAAAACTAAAACTTAACCATATTTCAAGTCGTATGCTGATAACAAATTCTTCCTTAAATCTAAGGTCTTCTCAGTATGTGTGTCCATATTCATCTTAAGTGCAAGAAATTCCTTAAAATTAAGAATTGCCCATAAAAGCATTCTTATTCCATGTGTTACTTATTGTTTCTTTATGATTGGACTAATCGCCTAGAATCGGTTGGTTCAGCGAGCTTTAGGTATAGAGAAAGGGTTTTTCAGCGGAAGGGTAAATCTCACCGAGGAAGTGCCGTGCAGAGAAAGGACAGAGAGTGAGGTGGCCCCGGGAATCTATTTCAGGGGGAAATCCAATCAAAGAGTGAAATTGGTGTACAGGCTGTCGTACGTGATTTGAATAAAAAATAAAATTAGTTATTACATTTCGCACATTTCTGTGTTCTAGACCCCCTATACTCGAGTCTTGGGGGTTATACAACTAAGGAGTTTTTCTCCGGGCATCGCCAAACTTCTGCACGCCACTACTTTGGGGCATTGAATGATGAACCACATCGTTTTGATAGAGAAGTTATTTTGATTATTACCACTGATTCGATTGATACTGACACCATTCGAAACCATGCCGTTGCTTCATTGCTGCAAGTATTTGTTGCTTTACGATTTTATCCTTACGTTAAATGTCCAGCAAGGGATTGTGCATAGTGTAACAGATACAACAGGCGGATAAACCATTTATCCCTTTCGCCAGAGAAGACGCACGTCGAGCACAATGATATTTCTACGAAATAGCTGGATTTCCAAATGTGGATGGCGATGGTATAGTGGATGGCAGACTACCAATCAAGGTACGTATTTTTTTAGTCAATACATATTCATTTCATGTATAGCAGTGAGACGATCTTCGATCACTACTATAGTCGTCATGTGTCCAAGGGGCACTAACGATTTAAGAATCCTGAAAAATAGTGATATTGGTCGACAGTTTAAACTGAGAGAACAGCATGGCATAATCCTCCTTGGCAGTGGTTACCAATGACATTCATGGTTTTTCCTTATGTTAACCCTGGAACTGATACACAAATGAGGTTTTGATTTTAAAGTAATATTATTGCTGAACTTTCCACGCAATACAGCAGTTTCTTTAATTCTTGTTTTTCCACCGCAGAACAGTTCGGGTGCCTTAATATACTTTCCCTCCTGCTGAGACGATGACAAAGCCTCGGCTGTTACATGTATCTTCATGTATTTCAGCTTAACGTGGTTTTTCCAGTATTAGTATGAGCTATTACCTCTTGTAAAAAGTACACCCACGGGCGAATTTTAAACTAATTGCGTTAATAGCCTGCGTCATTCAAAAATTATTAATACTTCACAAATAACTATTATCAGGTGCTCATTAGACACTTAAACATATACATCTCAGAAAAATACCAATTAGCTTACAAGAAAGGTGTAGACAACATCCTTTATGCTTGATATATTAACCAATTTTAGGTTGATTTTATCTGCACGGTTAAGTATATGCCTACCAGCAGTATTTTGTAAGTAAGCTAATATTGTTTTCTAAATGTATCACTGATGTTCACGGGTTTGATGTGACCTACATCGCCATCGGACTACGTAATAATAAAAAGTCAAACTGTAAAATATATAGATTCAAGAATCTATGATATTAGTTAAAATCCGATATTTTCTGAAGACAGACATGTCTGCCAATAACTCAGCCAGGTAGATAGATTTTAAAAATTTGAGATATGCCATTTTGATATTTAAGTGTTAATATTAGGTGTTCTCAAACGTTGATCAGTGCTTCCAGTGTTTTAGGGACGTCTATTACTGTTGTATTGTCTTTAATTTGGAGTATTGTTCCTGTATAGAAACATTACTTACGGCTGGCCCCCGGATCCATTCACTTATGTGGTATTTGTTGTTTATTTCTTGCAATTTTCTGTCCGCAGGTTTGTCATATTTATTTGCATGTGGTGAGATTCTATTATTATATTTACAAAACAGTTGGGAACTATTATTAAGTTCACAGTTTTATAGCGAAAAGTAAAATTAAACTAATTTGACATTTAAAAAAAATATTTTGTTCTCTGTTTTGTTCTCTAATAGTAAATGCAGGAGAACCGCACCACGCACAAACAACGCGCTGACAAAACCCAGGATACACTGAGATTGCAAGTAATACAACAAATATATTATCAGATCAAGTAAGAGGATTTGCAACCGACCATAAAGTGACCACCGCTCGGTGCAGTTCAGGATCTGTAATAAAGAACAATGGAGGCAGTTCAAGAAAAAGAGACAAATTTTACCAAATTTGTATTGTTTTAGTGTATGGCATGATCGATTATGTGTTTACAAGTTATCTCAGTTAGTGCACGTACATTGAAAACAAAAGCTGTTTATAACTATTCATACTAGCCAAGTCCAATAACTCATGAATTCTGCATACTTTATGCTTCTATTTTAGAATGAATAAACAACCATCATCATTTGCAGAAAATAGATTGTTTGTGGAAACTCGAAAACAAGAACTAATGGGATTCAAGAAACCTAGCGTAAAACGAGTACAAAATTCTGTGCCAGGTGCTGAACTCTTTCGTCCTCGGGATGAAGATGTACTTTTCAACAGAAGTCCGAAGGATTCATGTATACATAGTCCTTTTGAATCCAACAATTGTATTCACGAGGCCATTTTCTTCCACAAAAAGTCACAGAAATCATCCTCGACAAACAGGTAATCATATTATACTATTAACTTATTTGATAATAAGAGACATTCTCTGTTTTTTTTTGTAATAATATGTTATATTTGCTTCAAATGAAACTGTACACGAATTTTATTGCTAAGATTTTCCAGAAATCATGACATCATCCTGAAATTGTACTGTGCACTTTGATCATGGCGTATTTGATTTGTTTGAAAGAAGAATTGCGAAAATTGGTAATGTTAGGATGTTTTGAGAACGCCACCAGCGTAACTCAATCAGGATTCCTTGATAAATCCCGGTATTGTCCAGTGTATGTGTTTGAGTCCTCACACAATATTCACTGGTAGACATAATTAGATGGAGCCACGGTGGCTAAGTGAGTAAGACGTTGGCTCGCTAACCTGGAGGTCCCGTGTTCGATCCCTGCATTGGCCGAGAAATTTCATTGGGATTGTGTGGCGTGGTATCCTCTTGTCAGTGGTGCAGGACAGAGAGCCTGATAAGGGACAACGTACAGTCGTCCAAATATTGGCGTGCACGGAATCCGATAAAAGAGTAGGCTTTAGCGCCGCTGTTTGGACAAAATGTCCCCCATAGCACACTGTATGGTGTATGCCCGGAGCAAGAAACTAGGGCGTTAAGTCCCATTTCATTTCATTTTATAATTAAATTTTAATGTAAAATGTATTTATCATTTTTATACATAACACATTTTTAACATTTTGCAATACCATAAAACCTTCTTTCCCAGCCGCAATATATGCTATTTAGCGATATCTGCCTCCAAATCGCTTTCATTGTAAAATTAGATAACCCCTCATACACCCACTTTTCCAGATAAAGCAACCAAAATTGGTCAGACGTTGGTTTTTGGTGTCTATGTATGGGTTTTTGATACTAAGCTATTCATTGCAACTATAATCAAGTTCACCTAATTTGCATAAATTTAAAATCGCCGCCAAAAGCTCCTTTGTGTTACAATGCTGATATATCATTGTACGTAGGTCTACGCCTATTAAAAATTATTAAATTCCTCAAATCCAAGATGGAGAAGCTATGAACCGCACCACGCACAAACAACGCGCTGACAAAACACAGGATACACTGAGATTGCAAGTAATACAACAAATATATTATCAGATCAAGTAAGAGGATTTGCAACCGACCATAAAGTGGCCACTGCTCGGTGCAGTTCAGGACTCTAAGAAAGAACAATGGAGGCAGTTCAAGAAAAAGAGGCGTATTTTCCCAAATTTGTATTATTTTAGTTTATGGCATGATCGATTATGTGTTTACAAGTTATCTCAGTTAGTGCACGTACATTGAAAACAAAAGCTGTTTATAACTATTCATACTAGCCAAGTCCAATAACTCATGAATTCTGCATGTTTTCAATTATTTCTTCTATTTTAGAATGAAAAAACAACCATCATCAATTGCAGAAAACAGATTGTTTGTGGAAACTTGAGAATGTTTTCAATTATTTCTTCTATTTTAGAATGAATAAACAACCATCATCAATTGCAGAAAACAGATTGTTTGTGGAAACTCGAGAACAAGAACTAATGGGATTCAGGAAACCTAGCGTAAAACGAGGACAAAATTCTGTGCCAGGTGCTGAACTCTTTCGTCCTCGGGATGAAGATGTACTTTTCAACAGAAGTCCGAAGGATTCATGTATAAATAACCCTTTTGAATCCAACAATTGTATTCACGAGGCCATCTTCTTCCACAAAAAGTCACAGAAATCATCCTCGACAAACAGGTAATCATACTATTAACTTATTTGATAACAAGAGACACTCTCTGTTTTTATTTGTAATAATATACTGAGCGCCATGGAAAAGGCATCACTTAGTTTTTCGTATAACAAAATGATCCTGTAAACATATCTTATTTATTTTGCTTCTTATTGTGAACAATATTCAAATGGGGACACATCAATAACAACACATTTGTACACTTATGGATGTTTAAACTGTAATCAAGGGTACAAAGTCAGGGGGGTCAAAACCAAAAGTACGACACAGATGTCAGTAGCGCGCGTGTCCTCCACAGGCCATCACCACGGTAGGCTACAGCATTAACGCGACCCCTGCAAATGTGTAGGGCGGTCCGGTGATGAAATGTGAAGCCTCCCAACACCATTACACTTCCCCAACCCCATCGATTCGTTTTGAAGACGCAGCAGTCTGCAAGACGTTCCCCAAGACGTCTCCACACACGTTGACGGCCATCAGCGTGATAAAGATGAAAGCGACTCTCATCACTGAAGAGCACACTTTGCCAGTCTACTCTTCTCCATGTCTGGTATCCTTGAGCCCATATCAAACGCCGCTGACGGTGATGATCCCTGAGGATAGCTCCAACATAAGGTAGTCGTGCACGGAGTCCTACTTCTCTTAGACGACGTCTTACGGTGTTGGCACTTACTGGTCCTTGTCTTCCGACGACTGCTGCACCTGTTCGAGTCGCTGGGCGGAATCTGTCACGCAGATGAGTGACCCGGATGTAGCGGTCTTGAGCCTGGGTTGTAACGCGCTGTGGACCAGGACGTTGACGGTCACGTGTTGATCCAGTAACTCGAACACGTTCCGCCAACCTTACAATAGTGGACTGATGACAATTGAAGTGTCTGGCAATAGCACGTGTAGACATGCCAGCCCTGGACATTCCCATGGCTTCATTCCGTTAATTTTCAGTAAGTCTCGGCATCTCTAGCTCGATTCCTTCACACGTCCAACAACAAATTACGACAGATTGACGTTTCACAGTTCATGTACTGCACATTAATTTGAAAACATGCTTTTAAAGGGCTCACACACAATGCTGCACGTGAATATTGGGTTTTTCATGTGCATCTTTGTGCACACGGGCCGATATTTTTTGCGTTTGGGAGCATTGTGTGAAACAATAGTTCATAGTATTGCATAATATTATACATACAAAACCGCCTAGTAATAAAATATTTGGGAAAAAAAGTGATGCGTTTTCCATGGCGCTCAGTAAACATGTTATATTTGCTTCAAATCAAACTGTACACGAACTTTATTGCTAAGATTTGCCAGAAATCATGACATCATCCTGAAATTGTACTGAGTACTTTGAGTGAAATAAAGATCATGGCGTCTTTGATTTGTTTGAGAGAAGGATTGTCTGACGTCCCACTACAACTGCTCGGATCTTTTTGTAGTAGAGGCCATCGAAAGTATAACAAAACGAAACGAAATATAGATCTGTATTATTCAGATTGGTAGTCACACAGACATCGCTTCGGGGTTGATTTTTTGTGAAACTTATGTTTTCTTTACAATGTTAAATTTCAGTATGGATAAAAAAAAGTCAGGAAGAATTGACTGAAAGAGTCGAAAAACAAGAATCACAACTGCAAGATATTCAATATTCCGTGTCCAGCAAAAAACGATCTTCCTGGCTTTCTATGTGACCAGAAAGATACTTTATTTCCACCAGGTATAGAAACATTGGACCTTCTTAAACATTCGACTCGGGGAACATCTCTGTTCACGAAGCCGGATTTGGAACAATTTTCTGTTTAACAAAAGTCTAATCCGTTAACAAAAAGAAAATCTCTTGCCACGATGTTTGATAGTATACACCCTTCTGAAAAACTACTACCATCGATAGCTATTGATCCCCAGTTAAATTATTTCATGGAAATGATTGAAAGCAAAGACGCACCCTGGAAGTCAAAATCCGATACTCGTCTCAATGACGTTGAAGTTGTCGATTGTCGCGGCTACTATGATAAAGAAAATTCAGATTCGGGATGTTCAGTTCACTATTCCGAGCAACGCCGACAGGCAACGGAGATAAACGAATTGGGTCCAGAAACAGCTGAAATTCAAACATCATTTTGTCACAGCACAAATAGTTTAGAAATGTCCCTTCGTGAAACCAGTTTATAGCCGTCGAAAATTGCGCAAAACAGAAGCGTGTATGTAAAATTTTGTTTGCTGCCTAATAAAACTCAAAAACAAAAGTCTAAAATGTTACCTTTAGAACAAAACATTAAATGGAACATAGATATAAAATTCAAGCATATCACGGCGCATCAGCTGAAAAAAGGGAATATAAGTATAAAACTTTATGTTTCCTCTAAATGTGGGTTTTCGAAAAAATGTATTGCTAGGAGCCAGTTAAATTTAAAGAAGCTCGATCACCGATCTCATAATACAATCACATTAAAACTGGAATAGTTCTAAGTTATTGGTCTCTGTGTATGCTTAAAAAATATGAGGATATGTTTTGCACATTTGTAACAATATTATCGTTGCTACATTGTTTTCAAATTCATAGACAAGAAATGGAGAAATATGATGGCTGAAACAATATTGTTATCTTTACAAATGATTGATTATAAGTTCATAACCAAAAATATAGAAAGTATGCGGGTTATTTTGATACGTTAACGGAGCTATAGTTTAGTAAACATGTTGGTCATTTACACTTTTCAAAGATAAGTTGTTATTGTTTGAAATACACGTGAGTGGAAAATTACTAATTATTTCATTAGGCATAAGTGACCAATCACATGATTACTTACGTAATATTTGGCCAATTGTGTAATCAGTAGCGGAAATCTAGGCATATAAAGGAACTGGATTTGGGCGCTACAGGTAGACACGCATGTAGTGGATTCCTGAGTCTAGCCACGCTGGTTAGACTTTTACAGGGGTGGGGTTAGAGAGAGAGACATGTTAATATTAAATATTGTAATATAGACTATTGTTTAACTGTTGTGACATAAAAGCGTATAGCAAAAAAAAAAACAAAAAAAAACTATCGTTGTTCCTGTGACATATTTGAAAATCGGTATCGTGAGTAAAACGCAATGGAAAGTCCATAAGAAAAGAATTAGAAAAATTTTCGGGCCAGAGACAAAACTGGGCGATCACAGAATAACAAAGATTTGTAGCAGACGTCGGATGTGTTAGTTTTTTTTCAAGATTTGGGTCTTTCCATATCTGATTGACGACGTATATTGCTATGGAAACAGATTTCAATAGTTATTACTATAGCATATTTATAATGCACCATACCAAAGTGTTCAGGGGATATTTTATAGTTTTAGAATGTAACATGAATGATAATTATACGAAAAAAATAAATGTTAATTCAGCGAGATAAATCGTTAAATGCTGACGAAATAAATGACTGAATAAGGTAACAGGGGTGCAATAACAGTAAAAGAGCGTTGACTATACGCTAGGACATTAACAGTATTTTGGTTTTTTAAATAACTTTATCGGGAGTGCTATTTTATTTTAAAACATTAGGTATTGGTGTACGATCCCTGCATTGGCCGAGAAAGTTCATCCAGATTTTCCGGCGTGCCCCCCCCCCCCCCTCCCTTGTCAGTGATGCCGAACAGAGTGCCTGACAAGGACAGCTGTCTAGTTGTTCGGATGGGACGAAAAACCGAGGTTCTCTTCACACATTGGCGTGCACTTAAAATATCCCTTGACGTAGGCCGTAGTGCCGCTGTCCGGGCAAAATTTCCCTCATAGCACACTGTATGGGGTATGCCCGTCTTCATTAGTTCATTTCGGAGCAGAACAGTAGGGCGTTAAACCCCATTTCATTTCATCTCACCCCCTCTCTCCCTCTCTCCGCATTATTTACAGTTTTATATAACCAATATACAAGGGAAAACATATTTACAGTGAGTGTGTACTGTACTTTAACAGCCCAAAATTAGTATAGGGTTAATGTAGACTTGTGTATCAGTTATTAGTAAGTAAATGGCACAATTGCATTGCTCTTCTTAGATCAATATGGCCTTTTTAACATATTTGATTTTTTAAAATTCTCCTGTGAATTTCCGTAATCTTGAAATAATTAATACCCTCATAATTACATAATTCAGTCCATTAGCAAATGTCGAATTCGCCATATCAACCCACACAAAGATTGTAATTTATTGTATCGTAGGTAATCTTTAAACGCATTGTCTATAATAATTATATCTTTTTGTAAATTATTCATCTATCATATCCATTGTATCAAATAGTATTAAACACTTTTACTTGCCTATTGTTTGTTTAGCGTTAATGTTAACACTTTATGTACTGCATTTGAATTATTGAAGACGAACTGGAATGTCAATTCCCTTATTGGGAGCTGCGGTGTCTCTGTAAGGCTGTGGCTCATTAACCTGGCGATCCCGGTTCGATCCCTGTGTTGACCGAGAAAGTTCCTCAAGATTTTCCGTGGTGGTATCCCCTTGTGAGTAGTATGGGACCAAGGGCAGGGCATGGATAAGCGTCTAGTCGTTCGGAGGGGGCGAAAATCCAAAGTCCCGTTTGTGTTTATTTCATTTGTTTAACCAGGTAACTATTTACTTTAAAAGTAGTAGTGTTAATACAAGAAATGTACTTGTATATTACTGTCAAATGAA